ACACCTGGATTTGTGATTATAAATTATGTTTATCGGGAGCTACCTTCAATTATATATTTAATTTTCCAAGGACCCCCTGGGGTCCATGGACCCTGGTTAAGAACCCCTGCATTAAGGAGATGGGCAATAATGAAAATGAAGCCCAGGTATGTCTGTACTATTTGAGGAGGATAGCATGAGTCTGAAGTCATCACAAACTGAACCCAAACAGTCCTATTGTAATTACATTTTACAGGATGCAAGTGATAGATGAGAACCCAAGGCCCTTGCATATGCTTTGCATCCACATTGGAACTGTACATCTATGAAATTATCTTGCTGGTTCAAGAAACTCTGACTGAAAAGACTGCCCATTGCTGTGTGCCATGATCTCTTGTTTAAGCAGAAGTCAAAACTCCTTCAGCAACAAAAACAAAACAAAACAATAACTGCTTCTGGATGGGAAATTACAGTCAAAGCAGATTTTATTCCTTATCACAGTTGGAACATAAATAAAACAAGAAAGAAGAAATGGAATTCAAAGGGCCTTTAGGAAAACAATAAATCAGCAAGTAAGCTATCAGAGGGTTTTGACCTCATCCATCCAAAATTAAAAGTCTTAGAATCACAGAGAAGGTCAGAAATATAAGTTTGAAGGTTCTACATCTCTACATAATCAACAACATAATAGCCTTCACTTGAGCCCTTTCCTGGCATCAGCATATCATGCCAAGCAGGGTTTAAACACTTCCTAGCAGACCAGAAGGTAGGATTATGTTTTTTACTTCTTTTATTACCTTTGACTACCCTTTCATGATGACACATCAAGTAGAATTTTTTGTATCAAAATAATGATCACAATTGTACACTTTTCTGAGATTCTACTGGAATGGCCTATGAGGATAAGGTAGGAGGCACTCTCAAGGAAAAAGCACATGTCCCTAATCCTCACAAATACCTCCATATTAATACAGTAAAACTTCACTAGCCTGGACTAATTGAGGGGAGGGGGGGTCTGGATTAGACAAAAGTACAGACAATCCAAAACACGAGGGTGAGTCAATAAGTAAAGACACAATAATTACTTGTAACCAATAGTGCAATCATGTAGGTACAGTTATTGTTGGGTGGTGAAGATTAGTACCTTAGTATAGTGTGTGTATATATAGTGTACCTCCTACATATGTATTTAAAAATTCAGCCACCTGAAGGGCCATTGTCCAGTAAAAAAAATGGTGGCTCCATTAGAGACAAGTACAGTTGTGGAACAACAGATTATCAGATTTTTATGGTCAGAAGGTGTGAGGACTGCTGACACCAATTGCAGGATGGTTAGACAGTATGGAGGTAACTGCATGAACTGTCGAAATGTGGATAAGTGGTTGGAACAGCTGGAAAATGGGCAAATAGACATGAGTGCTCTGCATTGCCCGGGACTACCAAAAACCATGGAAACCACCAGCAACCTTGGTTGCGAGGTTCTGCTAGCAGTCCTGACCTCGCACCATTGGATTATTGTCTATTCAGTCCCTTAAAACAGTGGTTTTCAATCTCTCTTTTACTCCCATAGAACATTCAGTGTGCTGTGGCACACCAGTTGAGATCCACTGCCTTAAAAGAGGCATTATGAGGCCAAAAGATTGCTGACGACAATGCTGTAGTGAACGTTGTCCAAGTCTGGCTGCGACACCAGTCCAAATAACTATTTGCTGTAGAGATTAGGAAGCTTGTGGCAATATCAGACAAATGTATCAGTGTGCAAGGGGATTATGTGGAAAAATAACCTAAAGTTTGTACTTGAAAGGTTCCATTAAAAATATATGAAATTCACTTTTGTGTCTTTACTTATTGGCTCACCCTCGTATATAGAAAAAAATGCATTACACATGTAAATGAAGCATAACAAACCTATGAAATCCAAAACAGTACTTTACATTAACTAGAAAGGAGTTTTGAGGATTTTGTATTGTACAAAGGTTACTACACTGCTTTTCATGCAAAACACATTTTATTCTGAGTCACTCTTGAATCCTAGTCTGGATTAACCTAAGTCTGGACCAGCGGGGTTCGGATTAGCGAGGTTTCACTGTATTTATAGATCATAAGTATAGATGGATTAGTTGTTGTTGCTAGGAGATTTTGAAAATTAAAAAATTACATTAAGTTACTGCTCGCATGAAATCCCATTGAAAAAGTCTAACTATTGGGTTGTAACATATATTCCTGCCGTTTTTATATTTTGTTTGTTTTCACCCCATATTTTTTAAGTTTGGCAAAGTGGATATAGTCATTCGAAAGAGCGTTCTTTCCTCTACAAACTTATTGCCACCATTTTTCAGAATAACTTAATTTTACTTAACTTTCAGGTATTTGAAATGGAAATACCAGGCGGCAAGAAAACCCATTTTCGACACTTGCTTTATTTCGCGTTTCGCCATAATCAAAAAGCAGCCGAAGCAGCTCGGGATATTTGTGCCGTTTACGGAGAGGGTGCTATAGCTGCGAGGACTGCTCGAGATTGGTTTGCCAAGTTCAAAAATGGCAACTTCGACCTGGACGACACGCCTCGCTCTGGGCGACCTACCGAGTTCGACGTTTCTTGTGGCCGCGTGTTGCTCGGTGTCGGGCGAGATGTTGAGCAGCAATTTGAAGGCGATTTTCTTTGTTGTTTCCGGTAAGCTCGTGTGGCACCCAAGCTCCAAGTTTTTGAGTAAAACCAATTGATTGAAGGTGACGGGATATCGTCATTGCATTGCTGTTCATCTTCTCGGCCAATTCTCTGCATGTTTGGCGACCGTCCTCCTTCAAAAGCACCTTCAAATGGTCTTTGTCGAACTCGGTAGGTCGCCCAGAGCGAGGCGTGTCGTCCAGGTCGAAGTTGCCATTTTTGAACTTGGCAAACCAATCTCGAGCAGTCCTCGCAGCTATAGCACCCTCTCCGTAAACGGCACAAATATCCCGAGCTGCTTCGGCTGCTTTTTGATTACGGCGAAACGCGAAATAAAGCAAGTGTCGAAAATGGGTTTTCTTGCCGCCTGGTATTTCCATTTCAAATACCTGAAAGTTAAGTAAAATTAAGTTATTCTGAAAAATGGTGGCAATAAGTTTGTAGAGGAAAGAACGCTCTTTCGAATGACTATATCCACTTTGCCAAACTTAAAAAATATGGAGTGAAAACAAACAAAATATAAAAACGGCAGGAATATATGTTACAACCCAATATATATAAAGCAAGATAGGGCTGCCACCATATTTTATTGAAATTGGATATTGGCCATAATGATAGTAGATAGTGGGAAATTCAATATTTGCTCCTCATTATTTAAGCAATTGTCCAAACCACACTCAGTATATATTGGTAATTCTCATAAGTATATATCAGTACATATCCCTCATAAGGGCAGTTTATACAATGTGTCTAAGCTTAGGAAAAGTACATACAACTAGAGTTGAAAAATACAGAAGAAAAGGTTCAGTAATAAATATATGCAATATATATCAGTATTGAGACTCTAGTCAGCTGAATATCACAATATTAGACATTGGCAAAAACCTGATACTGCTGCAGCTTCAAGACAAAGGAAATATTTGGAATCACCATTCTAGCACTAAAAAAAATAGCTTTTCCCTAAACCCCACTAATTTATTTTCAACATTTTCTATCTAAAATCCATATATACAATCTGTATGATGTGAATATGAAAACAATCAATGCTACAATAATAATAAAAATTATAGGGTCACCTGTATTTCCAATACTCTGCAACCCCTGCCACCCTTTGGTCAAAAGAAACACAAACCATGTTTAGACACAACACAATAACAACTTGATATGATGATTAAGATTGTCTGATACAGTGTAAGTGCGTATATTTTGTGCATGAAGTTCAACAATGATGACTGAGGGTATGTACCACCTTTTTCCACCTTCAACTTGTCCAGCAATGGCCTGAGTTAAGAGGATGCCCACTACAGATAGCAATGGAGGCCTGACAGAGATGCAGTATGTTCCAAAAAATGATGGATTGATGAGTTTCTGCAGGATTTTCTTGCCCACTTCTCAAAGTAAGCAGTCTTAAAGCCTCAAATGGTATGTGGTGGCTGATTTCAGTTCATTAAACATTGACCAAAGGGCATCCCAGGCATTTCATATGGAGTTTGAGTCTGGTGACCTTATGAGCCAGTCCTGCATATAATACAGTTTGTCTCCAAAAACTCATCCACTATTCTGGCATGGTGCAGACAGCCATCATTATTAATATGACATTTGGCCCAATAGCCCCTTTATAGGGTCCAACAATATCCTATTCCTGTGCCTCAGTCCTGTTAAATCATTTGCAAATGAGTGGAAGCCAGTCTGATATTGACCATGATTCTACTACCACCATAGGACCCCTTTACATCTCCAAAGTTTAACTATGACAACTACCTGATTTTGCCAAGTACTAAAACGTCAAGAATCATCCTGCCAGTTGAACCAAGAATCATCTATGAATAGTACATACCCCCAGAAGTCCATGGTCAACTTCACTGCCTGTGTACATTACGCTATTCTTGTTGACTCATCACATTTTAAACTGTATACCAATTTCATTTGCACAATGACCATAATACAGGTAACAATTGTTTCAACCAAGAGAATTGGGAAAAAAGGTGACCATTTAATATTGTTGTAGCAGTGTATTTGTCACAACTTTGCAGATTCAAGAGTGGGTGCATAAGAATTGGCTACACTGTGAAACATTTGGTAAATTCAAGATTGAGCAATTACATCACATGATCTACTTCTTAGAATAGGAAACAGATTATTCCCAACTATTGCTCTTGTAACATTTTGCAGGAGAATCATGTAAGACAATATTTGTTGGAAAAAGTAAGAGAACAAGCAAGAGTTTTTTTAATTGCTTCTATGGTGTAGTGATATATAGTGATAACTGGAACAATGAAGCAAGAGACCAGCAACCTGACAACATACAGTAACTTGTGAGTAACAAGAAATAATTGTGATTATAGGTACTGACCTCATGCGAAACAACTCAAAAACACTCAGAACAGGAATGTAGATTTGTAGATGTGCCTCTTCTTTGGCATGAGGAAACACCACAGTCAACCCAGTGATGTCACAAAGTTCACAATGGAAAGTGCCACTTGTGAGTGAAGGAAGGAAGTACAACTGTGAATAGCTATCATCATACCTATGGATCATGCTGTCTGCCAAACATCTGGATCATCAACAAGAGATGCCTTCTGTGCGTCCGGGTTTCCCCTAGCAGAAGCCATCATTGCCTCTCTAGAAGCTCTGACAAAATGAAATCAGACACAGCATTGCTGTAATTCCAAAGAAAACCACACAAAGCCAATGGTCAAAAGCAAGCAACCAAAGGAGCAAGCATATACCAGAAGCATGGTACCTGCACCAGAACCTCCACAATCATTGAAGCTTAAAAAAGCCTCCATGTGTGAAAATTTTCATAATGAAAGACCAATTTGGCTGACACAAGCTATTGCAGCCCCTAAAGATTTACAAAATGATGAAATTCAAGTGTTGACTGACAAATGTGATTGAAGCTGACCTTTAATTTATTTACCTTTAAATGGAAAAATCTATTTCAAGCAGAAAAAGAATCTAGATGTCACTGCCAAAATAAATAAATAAATATAGAGCTGCTATCATCTCTATTTCCCCCATTTCTGTAACAATCTTATTTTCCTCATTAAAAACAATTATTTTTTATTTTAAAAATATGTTTGGAATCTCAGATTTTGCAGGTAGATACATAGTTGTGTCACATGCCTATCATAGGCACTGAATCTTTAAAGCAGACCTGAAATTATTGCAACACAGAAGATTGGCATCAACACAGAACAATTATGATATAGACTACTGTCAATGGTCTAAAAAATAAAAGAAAGTCGACTGTGTGAACAAACAAGACAAGGAAAAACATGAACATGAGCAACACTGATGCATAGAGGGACAGCATGAAACCCGGACTTAAAAATTACTAATCCAACCATCACAGAATCAAAACTGTGTCTTTCCACATGGCCCGAGTTCAATAAAAAAAGCCAACTTTATTAATACTAGTCACCATAATAAAAAGGTTCCAATTGATATATTCCTGTTAACTCAAAGTTAGCTTCCTAACATCACAAACATACTTGAAGGGAGTCTACAATCATTCTATTTCAGTAATCACAATGTTCGTGTTGTATTCATGTCAACAATCTCCTGTCTACCAGTATAATTTCTCAAGGCTATTTCTAGGAAATGGTCTTGCAGATTTGCTGATGTCAACTTGCACCATGTTTTTATTTCAGAGAAACTGTATCACATTCATGCTGAACAGTCAATCCAGCCTGTTCTGTAAAACCAAATTGTAAAGTTGATAATTACAGGTCAAGAAACTTGCATTCCATATAAAAGTTGCAGGAGGGTTCTTATGCACCGACTTTATCTGCCAATTTTATTATTCAGACAAGCATTAAAAATTAAACATTAAATTTCGCAGGTAAACAATCTAAGCTTTGTGAGAAATTCCTTTTTTTATGATCAGTTCCTACAGTTAACAATCCCAAAGTGAAATTGATGGCAAGGAGGGAAGTAATGAAGCAAAAATCCCACACTTACACATATGTAACAGAAAATTAGATTCATCCAGTAGTTTCCATAAACAGCATGAATATTTTCTTCAGAAAAGCTTGGGAAGAATTGGGAACTCAAATAAAGTGGTTATGCTTATAGTGAGCATAGCATTAAATTTATGTATTCATCTACCACCTGAAACTTTTCAACAAAGAACCAGGGTGTATGAGGGCACAGTGATTACATTGTCATAATCTTCAAATTCTGCATCTTGGCCAGCACAGCAGCTTTATTAGGGCATGTTCTTTCTCTGTCTCCTGCTATGCTTCTAGACATGTCACATGATACTTCTCTAATGACGTTTTGGTGCACATACCTTCATTTATGAAAAACACCATATAGCAGGGAGTACCAGTGGCTATGATAATTACATAAGGAAGAGATCCCTTTTTACCTGCACAGAGGACCACCTGGACACAGAAAAGCAATTATTCTAGAATGCCAAACTTTGACCCAAGCTTAGCATGTGGTTGATAGGAAGTAGTATAAGTAGTATTTACCATGGCTGCTAATCAATATAACAGTTTTGACTGTATTATGTTGTCTGGCACTGTGGAGTAACTTTTGCAAATGAGAGATGATTTTAAACAAATCAGCATATCGAAACTAATCAATGAACAACTTCATGAAAAAATGGAACCACAGATGGCTTAGTTTTGCTTTGGGAAGAAATGAAGAATTTCACCCAGATTATTAATGGGATATGAAATGATTTGAAAGATGATATTAGTTCTGTCACTTACAGTTATGCTAAAAAAAATGTATCCCATGAATTCATTCAAAGATAGCCCTATATGTACAGGGTAGCCAAAAAAACCACACCAATTTTGATTGGCAATAACTTTTGAACAAATGAACCTTTTTTCATGTTCAAAACGGGAATTGAAAGGTCTATTAATCCTCTTTCCATCGCCATATCATTTATCAAAATTTCTTTAATGGAATCAGAGCAATTGCAAATTAAGTATGAGTACCAAAAAAAGTGGATGAACAGGGCTTCTTGTTAAAACCCTCTCTGTATGCAGCATCCTTTGGCATCCGACAGCAATTTTTCGTAGCATGCTTACAACTGCCGTGTCTTTCAAATGTCATACTATAAAAGTGCATTTTAAAAAGTTCATTCCAATTATTTTCAAAACCAGTTTTGCAAGCGTGCCGCTGTTGTCTCGCTGGTCACATTATCAATTGCTCTCATACTGAATTCTAGCAGTCAGACATGTTTTTCTTCAGTGTAATGTAGCGTTTTTTCTTCGTTTGAACTTGAATTATTCTCTTTGATCTTCAAGTTTAAATTTTATTCTCTAAAATTTTATTTTAGATTTTTGCACCCTTCAAAACGGTCTTGAGCGAGAGTGACAAGTGTTTGATAACTGCGCTGCCTCAGGAAAAGAATTACTCACTGAATCAAATTCTCGCTGAGTATCTAGATCGCCAATGGAAACAAAGAACAGTTGTGGATTTTTAAAAAAAACTTCAAGAATATGGAAGTGGAAAACGTCGTCCGGGCAGTGGGTGTCCAAAAATTGATTGTACACAAAAAACGTTGAGACTGTCAGTTCACTGATTTGCAGCCAAGGCAGCAAACAAGGCACCAGTTTAAGTGTGCAGCGCATTTCAAAAGAAACAGGCATTCCTGAATCCATACAGCTTTTTTCAGGGATGTCAATAGGAACATTTTATGCATCAAGATTTCAAAATTACAGAGTTGAAAGCGAACATTAACTGCTTCAGTGATTTACCCATCTCTGATGTGGGTGACTCATGTTTTGTTGTTTTGTTCTTGATTTGCCTGAATAAATGAATATGTTACACATACATATTTTGTTCAAGCAAAGTCTCTAGAATCAAAATCTACAATTAAAAAATTGACATTTTTGGTTCAATTCATTGAAAAAAAAAACAAAATGGTAAGTGGTTAAGAATGAAATCCAAGTTATCACTCTGGATACTTGTGAGTCCTAGATGTCTGTGCAATGATGATTCCACAAGTGCAGAAATCATAATGGCTGACATAAGGAGGTAACAATGTGGTAATACAAAATGTCCTAATACAAAATGTCCTAATATAGTGCTTGAAGTTGAGATTTGCATGAATCCAACTGCTTGGAAAGGTATGACCATGAGTTAAGAAACACCATGAACAAAGCAAAAGTGCATGATGCAATTTTACTTTTGAATTCATGTAATTGCACCTTGATATGGTGGAGGAAACTTTATCTCTGAAAGGAATGACATCAAGAGTGCACTAACTTTGTGTGCCAACACTATGACTTATCATACTAACTACAGGTCAGGAACTCATCATACAACTATTGCACAACACTTTGAAGAAGTTGTTCTATGATAATGCACTATTTGCAAAGTTAATTTTTGTACAGCAAAACATGGTATAACATATTTTGCACATTGCAAATTTCTTCGTCAGGGTGGGATCCTATGGTACACCCCAAAATTGGTGGTAACCTAGCAAAATACTGTCTCCAATTAGCTTATTTTCTAGTCTGATTTTTCAAATACAAAAAAATCGATCGATTATGATGAATAAAAGTTTCTCTAACACAATAACTAGAAGTTTAAGAATGATAGGGTTTGAAAGCCAGTTCAGTGAAGTGTGCAATCTGGCCACTTTTCCTGGTTCAAGTTTTTTTTTACATTGAAAATTTACTAGGTCATGTCATTTAACTGAAGATCCAGTGTTTCATACAGGTATAATTTACACATTTATCGGCACTTTGGTTTCAATTTAGTCATAATGACACTGAATATTTTGAAACTGCTTTGTGGAGTACTTGTGTTCCTAAACTTGTGAATGAAACTAAACTGAAAACTGATTTTAAACCTCAGGCTAATGTTCATAATGAAAAAGGCCAATATGTAACTATTTCAAAAATTTAGATGAAAAATGGTGAGAACCTAGGGCTCTTGAGTATCAATTTGCCAATCAGCACACTTTCTTCATTTTTGTCAAATGAAAATTATTTATATTATGACTTCCTGGGGTTAGTTTATTCTTAATGGTTATGGTCAGTGCCATTGCTGATATAAAAAAAACTCCAAAGCTTGTAAGAATTTCAGTGAAGTGCATAATGCAAAAGTCCACTATTTAAAGGGAAACTTCTAATTGATTAAAGTAGTAGCAGACAACTTGAGCTCAATGGCTTCAGTTTGTGCAGAGAACGAACATGGAACTAACATTAAACAAATTGGTACATTTGTTCATGAAACAAGGGCCAGAAGTCCAGATCTATGAAGTAAAACACCTCAAATTCATCTATAGTACTATCCAACCTCATAGTGGAAAGAAACAGAAACACATATATCTTATCTCATAAACACCTAAAAGGTGGGTGCAGACCAACACCTCCTTTGAAAAAATGGAAATTTTTTTTTTTTTTAAGTTCATGGAGTCACTAAAAATAAGGAAAATTGAAGTAATACTCAGATTCTTTGGCCCTACAGACTCTGCAAGGCTGCTAGGGTGGGGAAGGCTTCAAGATTTTCCTCCAATGATCACTGGCTACACTGACAAGTTCAACAATCTTTCAACACCTTTCACTCCTTGATTCAAATATACATGTGATATGGTTACACCTTTTGGTTCACTTTCCATCTTGTCCAATAGGGACTTGAAAGGCAAGTGATATCATTCTCTATATCCTTACCTTTTGCATCTGATTTTATGATGTTGTGAGCCAGTGAGCCAAACTACATACATGACAATAATAACTTTTGTAACTGGCATGCCTCTCATATTAAACATGGAAGATGAAATACCACATATTGCTATACCAGTTCCCATTTAACACACTGATGTATGACAAACAAAATATTACATCAGTAAGAATAAGTGGAGACTTATCATAACCTAAAGATAGTCCACCTTGTACCCAAGTTGGATGCAAAAATCAAATGAGAGCATGCCTGAGTCAGGGCAAAGAGGCAAAGGCTTTAGCAATTTGGAGGATGAATTGTTTTAAGATTTCAAACAGCTTCATTAGACTATGAGAAAACAAACTCACTTTTTTCCTAGGGCTACTGCAGCATAGAAAACACCAGTTACAAATATGCAACCACTCCCGAAAATTGAGAGAAGTTGGAAGCACATCAGGATAGATGGGATCCCAAGCCTGAAAAACAGATAACATGATAGTTAGCTATTCATAATGAGCAACAAATGAAATAGGAACTTTCTCACAATAACAATAGACTACAACTAAGACACTTAGGTAAAACAGCCTAGAGTCCTATATAAGCTCAAATGATCCAACCATGGAGTTAGGAAAGAGTATTGGAGGAAGCATGGCTATAGCAACCCCACAAGTGCACAATCTAGAAGTTGACAACATGAGCTAATGCGACATGCAGGCATTGAATGAATCCCCCTTTCTCTTGCATCATCTCCATTACAAATGTCAATAAAATGGATTCTCTAAGAAACAACATCATTCCTCTTTACTGATGTCTAAGGGTTATCATCTCTGTTGGTATGTCTCAAATGTTTACATTGTGAATGCTGGTGGTTCAAGCACATAGGCCTAGCATAGGCAAAATGTCTGTTCCACTGCATGGAACCAGGTTATATAAATAGGCTGCAGCCCCATTCCACAGCCATGTGCCTGGGCATGTGAAGGAGGAATGGCCATGGATCAATATGAATTGTCACCAGTTTACAGTTAGGAAAGTTTCTGGAAGGTTAAGATGTAATTGCTACCTGGTTTATATTCATGAGGGGTTAACTCATTGACATTGACATTATTCAGTTACTTGAATATCATAATTTAACAATTAATTTGAGAAGTTTTCATTAATATTTATATTTCATGCTTATAATTATGTAATGCAGGTATACAGCAAACATCACTACCTGCATGATTCATATTCAGCATACAGTTAACCCATTGACGCCAGGAACCGTAATATTACGTTTTTAAACCCATAGTGTTCTGGAGTCGCTGGGCGTGAATGTGTTACACTGTTTTCGGATTGAATTGGTACCCCCCTACTGTGGAGAATGGAGAAAACACAAGCTTTCCAGACAATCCTCCACATATAAAGCCTGATGCTCCACATGGTTGTTGGATGATTCTATTAATACTTCACCTTCCATCCACAAGGTGTCCTGCCTGTACTAGATGGAAGCGCTCCTAGGGGGGGGGGGGGTACCAATTCAATCCAAAAACAGTGTAAGAGACTGCCTCATTGGGTCATGGAATGTCTTGCCACTCGGACAATGAGACTGTCTCATAAATCAATGCCAATGGGTTAAATTAGCATGAATATGGAGTCCATTCCCCCAAACAGCACATTGTGCTGCCAGAACTGCAATGGTGGGCTGTAACCCTGTTTCTTGCAGCAAAATTGGGCAATTTGGGTACCATGAGTTTCATAAATATGATTTCAGGCATGAAAGGGATGTTTCATTCTCAAGGGGTAAATGGTGAGGAAATAATGGATGGATCATTGACTGGATTCATGGGTGATTAATTTCTTACAAAAATTCCACCAGCCTATGTACAGACTCAGACTGCAATCATTTTCCAGCCTAATCAGCCCATCATTCCCCAATATAGACTGCTCCTCTGATTGTTTTTGTCAAATATTGAATGACTGCAGTTCAGTTTGTCCATGAGGTCAAGAAGCACTAGTATAATCTGATCATTGAGAGGCACTCTCGTGTTTGCATGCATTTGGTTTGCAGACCATCTTCAGGGGGCATTGCATGCCCAGATGTTTGTCACTCTCTGCAGGACCATTATTGAGATCACCAGTTCTTGTGCTCTCATTGTTAGCAGAGGAGGTAATGCAATATTCCTTTCAAAAGTAGTGACTATTAAGGTCACCTTCATGCTTTTTTTTTTGTTGGAAAATAGTAATTACTAATGATGGCAGTGGTGCAGAGCAGAGGTCTTTAAATACTTTTTTTCTTGAGCAGATTCCTTGTTGAAATTTGTGAGATGACAAGAAGAATAAATTCTATAGCATGGACCTACTACTTTCTCATCAAATCAACTTTTCAGGCTGTTTCAGCTCGCACATGGAACAGTATGCCACCTCCAGTTGTCTCTTTCTTGTGTCAGTGGTTCCAGATAACTGAAAAACTTAAGACTGACCTGCCAAAAGAGAGAGGATTCCTTCAGGTGAGACAGAAAATTACATCACTACTTGTAAGCAAATCATGTTTGTCTTTTGAGATTGCAGGAATGTTGCCCATCAATTTCATTCAATGACAGAAATGGCCTCTTCTGATTAAAAAACATGACTTGATCCCTGGCAAGTTGACCATTTGGTCATATCTCAAGATATCATGTCAGGTAATGTCCTAAACCAATACTCACTTCACTCCAATATACATCAAGTTCCCATTTCCAATGATAACTTGCATTTGCAAGAGGAAAACCATTCTTACTGGAGTCATGTAAGCAGAGGCTATTCCATACATAACATAGTCTTGCTCTCAGACTGCATGCTCTTACACACAGAGTGTTTTACATCACTTCGGACATTATTATTAGTGCTTCTTTCAAAATGATCCATGTGTGTTGCATAATTTTTCACACCCCTACTGCCACCCTGCATATAGGGGAGTGCGTTGACCAGAGCAATTGAGCACATAGCAATCTGCAACATATATTTGCACTGCAAAAAACTGCACATGGTCTGGCTGCCATTCTACACTATCAAGTGCTTATGACACTTGAAAGGAATTAATTAAGATGAAGCCAAGCAATCCTTCTTTCATCTCAGGCTTATTAGAAATCACTATTATTATCAAATCATTATTATTATTATTAGAAATCTAGCAAGGACTTTTTGTATTGTTTTTTTGTCACCACTTCACATGGTATAAGTGAAGCAATATGCAGACCAACTTTTAAAATAAAATTGGTTGTTCATGTAAAGGGTCATTCAAAACCTTAACCCTTCTTCCCTTATAGCATAAATGACAACAGTTAAGGAAAAATCTGGTTACATCATGTTAAAACTTATTCAATTCTGTATAGAACCCCTTAATTTAGGCTACCAACTGAAATTACCTGAATTTCCTAGGGTAAAAATCCAGGACATGTAGGAAAGCAGCAGTGTCTCCCTCAATCTGCACCTAATCCATAGCACTAATTGGCTACATGTTGGTTGTGGTAACACAGAATATTAAGAGAAGAAAAGAAATAATTTTTTTTTTTATTGGTAGCTGAAAATAGGGAATTATACATAAAATTTATTCCACGGTACCCTCCAGATTTTCCCACAACAATCTTAACTTGTGCTGTAGAGGGAGAGGGAGGGCTAAGGTTTTGAATGGCCCTGTAGACAGTACTTGGCCATGCAATAATATGATTATCTATGGATATAATTTATGCTTACAAAGGCATGAATGCAATCTATAGATGTCTTGTTCATCAGCATGTTAGAAGATACTGAAGTTTTTTCCTTTCTAAAATCAGGCAAGTTGTCACAAATTTTTAGGCCCAAGTAGCACACAGAGCATTGGATCAGCTCAATGGCTTTCTAGATAACTTCAAGCACTGCTGGTTAACCCCCCAGGTGTGAATTTTTTCACATAAGATAGCGGAAGAGCAGCATATGCACCACAGACTAGGGGGGTTAATGTTACGTATATGATGTTCACAAGTGAACATGCTCCAGCAGCAATCTATGGGCATATGAAAATGATCCATATATGGCAATTTTCAGAGCTAATAGTGTGCCCAACAGATAACTATTATTGCTAATTTTTGCAAGTACCCTGAAAGGATAAATTTCTTTGCAAAATCCAATTGTATGAACTCCCCAAAGTAGATGAGTTTGAATAGATTCAAAAGTACATACATGATCAAGAGGTGATGAAAGCTATTTAGGCCAATTACATTACATTCTAAGATTACAAGCCAAGATGGAATTTTGTCACACACTGTAACACTTTCAACATGGGTATCCCAGCAAGGGGCATTGCAAGTATACACCATGAAATTCAGAGTACTCATGAAACTGACTGAGTTTTACTAGGGGCTGTAGCATGCAATCTCTCTGTCATAATCTAAGTAAAATTGAAAAAGTTTTTTGATTCGTTGAGCTTTTTACAGCATTATTGATGAATCACTATTACATTTGTATGTTCCAGTCAGTGAACAAATGGAAAGCAGTTGTTAGAGAACCAGAACATAAATGAACATACATGTTACCAGTATCTGCATCGAGTGATTAGTGATTAGTTAGAACAGGTGAAAACAATGAGATAAAAAATGAAAGAGGCCCCAGGATGGTCACCTGCAGGGCATCCACACTGGGAGCAAAATCTTGAGCTCTGAAGATACAGGCATTGTGATGAGACTGTTGGGTAGCTGGAGAGTGATGAACCAAAGGTGAATAATGCCTTCCAAACCAAAATATTCTAGTTTCTACAACTTACAATTTGCACTTTCAAATGCTTCGGCAAAGCAAAAAAATAACTTTCACTGAAAATTCCTGATGATTAAAATTAAAAGCATGTAAAATGTAAAGAGTGAAACGAGACACCATAACAGAGAGCTGTTTTGAAAAGCATATTGAAGAGAGAGAAAATGGTTGGAGATGATGCCTCTATCACTTTTTCTGTAGACAGTACAAAGCCTGCCATATTTTGGAGCAACTTTACAGTCATAGACAAAAGCACCAGGTCCCAGTGTAGAGCCCATAAGGCATGTTACATTTTACCTCGGTTATAACGAAGTCCATTGAAGGTCCCACTGACGAAATCGACAACATTCGTGTCCCTAATCCGTCATTCTTAACTGAAATTTCCGTCATCAGAAAAATTAGCACTGGCGAGCCATAACTTTATATTTGCTGGATTTGGCATTCCTTGAGAGTCATGTGGGTGTGACTGGAGCAATGTTAGGGAAGGATAATCCCCAGTAAGTAAGATCACCTCATCTTCAGTCGCCATTTGCATTTCTCATTGACAACATGACCAATGGAAAACAAAAGAGGCAAGCCTTCATGAGTGAAAGGAAAGTGTGCTTCATTAGTTTAACAGAACGAGCTCGAAGTGAAGCTAACGTCGCTCACGAACATGGACATCTGTTCATCTGTTTCCACAATTTGGGAAAATCGTGACAGCTTCGTCCGTTCTAACGAGAACATGTCACAAAACAAGAAACTTCCTAGGTCTGTCGAGATGACATCGATGAGGCCTTGCTAAAGTATAAAGTAGTTCAAGGTTCAAAGAAGTGTGAACATCACAATTAGAGGGTCAATCTTGAAACTGAAGCTAGTGCAGTATGACCAATGTAAACTGGAGTTGTAATGTTATATAGCATCAATTTTGAAAATAGGAAAACAGAGTGCCAATAGAGGCAACCTCGGTTATAACAACAGTTTTTACCTGGTCCCTTCAATGACATTATAACCGAGTTTGACTGTATATCACTATTGCTGACAGCAGAGGAGAGGCAAGAACAATCAGGAAAACTTACGCTAAATAAAGTGCAGCTTTATACCAAGTTGGCTTCTCCGACATGTATGTGGCAAACTTCTGGAGTGGAGGTGCACATACAAAGATGAAGGATGCTTCTAGGACAAGCACCATGATTCCACCAATGCTGTAATAGTAATAAGTTCTTCATTAGAATTCAAGTTCTGCACATAGAAATGCAAAGAACTTCATCTGTCTTCAGGGGGAAGAGATAATAAAAAAGCAAGAGGATCACACTTCAGTCCAACACTTCTCTAGTTATAGTACATAAATCATAAAGGTGTTAAAAATGATGTTACCAGGATGTAAACTTTTTGATACCACTGTAGAATTTTGCTTCTCTCTATTTCAAGTATTTATTAACACTTTCATTGCCAAGTCATTTTTTGGAGGTAGTTTCCCTGAGGCCAAAGTAATCCTCCTGATTCTGGTGTACACGACACAAGCGATTGCTTATGTCATGTAAACCAGAATTAGGATGATTATTTTGGAGGACCACCACTCTAGCTGGGGTTCTTCTCTATTGGTTATCAGTCAACTCTCATTAAACCATCACTTGATATAATACCACCCTCGCTTATTGCCAACCTTTCCTTGTGGACATATATCCCAAGGTTCACATTAACTCGTTATAGCAAGTCTCTGACTCATATTTGCAAAGCATCCAAGTATGTGGGACTCATTGCCAACCACCTGAACATGTTCCCACTGAGCTGAAGTTAGGTGCCAGGACTCAAGATTTAAAAAAGCTTATGTGAACCCTGTATCCCCATAGGCCTATATAATATGGGATATACAGTAGCGCTCAAAAGTATTAGCACGATGTGATTTTTCGGCGTAAATCAACTGAACGCTGAGAAAAAGCGTTCCGACTGGAACACAACATGCGAGACTGTTTCAAACTGATCTTCGTAGTTTGAACACAGAGATCATTTTGATTTTTAAATTATTTTTTCATGTATTTTCTGTTGGCGTCAACTGTGCACCTGTAATACGAGGTCTGGCAATAGAGTTCCCGGACTGATTTTTTTGTGAGTCTGTCAATATAACAAATATTATTTTCATTCCATGGACT